TATGTGCCATTGAGTCAGCCCTGACTCATAGCGACCCCTCCTTGGGTTTCCGAGGCAGTATCACTACGGAAGTAGGATTGCCCAACCTTCCTTCCGGGGAGTGGCTGATGGGTTTGAACCGCCAGCCATCTGGTGAGCAGTCAAGTGCCTTAGCCACTATGCTACCAGAGCTCCCCTTAGTCTTCAAAATGACATCTTTGCTCCTTAACACTTTAAAGGGATCTTTTGCAGCAGATTTACCCAGTACAATATAGCATCTGATTTCTTGACTGCTGCTTCTGTATGCATTGATTGTGGATCAAAGTAAACTGAAATCTCTGACAACTTCAGTCTTTATTCCATTTGTCATGATGCTGCTTATTGGTCCAGTTGTGAGGATTTTTGTTCTCAATATGTTGAGGTGAAATCCATACTTTTTTAAAAGTCTTTGATCTTCATCAGTAAGTGCTTCAAGTCCTCTTCACTTTCAGCAAGCAAGGTTGTGTCATTTGCATATCCTTGATTGTTGATGAGTCTTCTTCCAATCCTAATGTCACATTCTTCATATAGTCTAGCTTCTCGGACTATATGCTCAGCATACCAATTGAATAAGAATGGTAAAAGGATACAGCCCCAACATACACCTTTCCAGGTTTTAAACCATGCATTATTCCCCTGTTCTGTTTGAATGACAGCCTATTAGGCTATATACAAGTTCCTCATAAACATAATTAAGTGTTCTGTAATTCTCATTCCTCACAATATTATCTATAATTTGTTATGGTCTACACAGTCGAATGCCTTTGCATAATCAATAACACATAGGTAAACATCTTTCTGGTATTATTTGCTTTCAGCCAAGATCCATCTGACATCAGCCATGATATCCCTTATGGTGAAGTTAGCTATTCCTGTGAGGAAGATATCCCTGTGGGGAAGTTAGATAATAGAAAATGAGCAGTCAAATGATTATAAGACAGGAAATGTTGTGAATGAAATGAACAGGCTACTATGATTGAAAAAAGAAATAGGAGAGATTTACCTAAATGAGTTGGTAACTTTTAAGTTGATCCCTGATAGATGAAAATAAGAGTCATCTGAAGAGTGGGGTTAGGAAGAGCATTCCAGGTGGAGGGAACAGCATATGCAGAAGCCCAAAGATGGGAAGAAATTAAGGATCTGAAAGAAAGACAGCAGGACTAGGAAAGAGAGAGGAGGAGAGCGGGAGGAGATGAAGTTGTGGTGATCATGCGTGTCCTTGTAGACCAAGGTAAAGGGTTTCAATTTTATTCTAGGTGCACTGGGAAGTTGTTGCAGGGGATGTAGTGAGAAGTGGACAGGTTTTTCTAGAATGGACAGGATTACTGTTGGATTGGATGTGAGGGCCTAGGAAGAAAAAAAAATCAAGAATGCCTGTTCCCAGGTTTCTAGTTTGAACAGCTGCAAGGAAGGTGATGCTGTTTACTGAACTAGGGAAGACTGGGGGAGGAAGAGGTTTGGGGAGGTAGGAATCAAGGTTTCAGTTTTGGGCATGGTAAGTTTAAATTGCCTGTGAGACTATCAAGTGGAAATATGTAAGAAGTAGCTGATACTTTGAAACATGAGTTCTGTGGTAGCTGGGCTGGAGATTTATATCTGGGAGTTTTTAGCATTTTAAAAACAGTATCTCTGGTAGCCTAGTGCCTAAGGCATTTGACTGCTAGTCAGAAGGCTGGTGGTTCAAACCCACCAACCACTCCTGGGAAGGAAGGTTGGGCAATCTACTTCCATAGTGATACTGCCTTGGAATTCCAAGGAGGCATCATTTTAAGTCGGATCGGACTTGATGGCTGTGAGTTTGGTTGG